AGTGTCAGAAACCTCAGGGGGGGTTTCTGCAATATTCCCTTCAAGTTAACATGATGTGCAGAATTCTAGTATTTGATGATATCTACAACGCAAGTTAACATGATGTGCAAAACTACTAGGAATCGACGATCTCTCCCTCTTCTACTTCCCGAGTCAAATATGTGTCTTCATCATCATCCGCTGCCATGAATTCCTACTTCAAGTGCAAGCCAAGTTGTCCTAAAGGACGCACAATTTTACCCGTTTTTAAGCCTCTGAATACCAGCACAGCTGGCCCATTGCATCCTCGGACAAAGTAAGACGGAGAACATTGACTTAGTTGCTCAAGTTCCTTGAGAATCGTGGGATTGTCCTCAAAATCAACTGTGCTTTCCATCTTCTGTAGCGCAAAACGGGCAGCTACCCTTTCCTTCTGCCTCAATTCATCTTCTTTCTTCTTTAATCGCTCAGCTGCTTCTCTGATTCTTGCTGCTTTATGCACCTCTTCCTCTCTGTCTTGTTTCCTTTCCGGTCTTTCTTTGCCTTGATGGACATCAGTTTTCTCGGCTTTTGCTGTAGAGATGATTTCTGCAAAGCGGGGCGTTAACCTAACTGCACTCAGAGCCTTCTTCAAAACGTATTTGTCGTCGACTTTTGCAGCGGGTTTGATCAGCAGAAATCACCAAATTTCCCTCCTGCTGCTTAGTCTTGAAAGTACTAATTGCACCAATCTTGTTCTTGCTGCTGCGTTTCCATCTTTTTAGAGTATCCAATATTCTCTTTCTTTTCCCATTCTTTTCACGACCATCAAGAACCGAAACTACTCGATCAACTTTTCAATCCTTACTCCCAATAATTCGGGAGGATGATTTTCTTTGTACCGAATTGTTCTTCTTCCCAGCCATTCCATTCGTAGCAACTCCCACGTTCGATGGTAACAACAGAAACCAACCAACCAACCAAACCAAGAATGTATTCTTAGAAGCTCAAATCTCCCAAACCCAAGAATCAAATCAGATAGTTTTCAAAAAAAAAAAAACCAGATACAGGTAGTTTGTTACTAGGGATAAAGAAAGAAGACGAAACTGCAGACGATATGAATAATGATGAAGTATGTCGCTCTCTTTTGGATACTTTTGCTTACTATTCGAAGATCAAGGAATGAAACCCTCGATGATATGATGAGCAGAGTCCTTAAATACTAAACCAAAGACTGTTGGATTTAGGAAAGTTGGAAAAACAGAGCACTGGTAGTGTGTTTGCGTATGTTATAGGCCGTGTCTGGCGGCAAATTTCAAAAATTGCAGTTAGAAAATGGATTTGGGCCTTTGAGATTCGACCTTTTCGAGTTTGGGCCCATATACCTTTGGGGGAATTTCAATTCTTTTTCTTCCATGAACTTGCATAGGCTTGATTAGGGATGGCAACATGGCGGGGTTGGGGCGGGCTCCATCCCCCGCCCCGCTGCCTACAAACTAGGGATGTTCACAAATCGCGAACGGTTCGAATACGAATTCGACTCGAACTCGTCAATATTAAGCTCGAGCAATTAAGTCGATCTCAAGCTCGAGCTCGAACGAAAAAACATTAAACTCGTTGGCTCGCGAGCTCAATTATATATATTTTTTATTTTTTATTTTAATAGTAAAATTACATATATCCCTAATATTTTATTATTTGTTAAAAAATTATTATTTTATTTATTTTTAAAAATAAATATTTATTTTTTATTTTTAAAAATAAAATAATAATTATTATTTTTTTATTTTTTAAGCTCGAGCTCAATATTTTGAGTTCGTCGAGCTCGAGCTCGAGTTCGAGCTTGACAAAATTAACTGAAACTCGGCTCGATTAGACCAAAACTCGGCTCGTTTGCACCCCTACTACAAACTCCCCCCGCCCCCGCCCCATCCCCCGTCCCCCGCTCCCCCCGCCCCGCCCCGTTTCCCCAACGGGTGCCCCCGCGGGGCTAATAAAAATTTGTTATATAATTTTATTATGGTTAAATTTTAGCAAATAATCAAGTACTAAAATATCAACACATCATCAAATTATTATTCATTGTAATTTTACAATTGAAACTTATAAAAATAATCAAACAAAAATTATTTAAATACAATCCAACAAGATGAAATAAATATAACTAAAGTAGTCAAGTTTTTACTTTTTGCACAAATACAATCACTAATTCATTCTTGTGCTTGTGCTTTTTTTAAGAAAAAAATGTTATTGTATTAAGTGTAATTAGGGATTTAGAATAAATGTATTAGTAAATTTAGTATAACCTATTAATAATTTGTATTAGTACACATATATAATTATTAGTATAATTAATAATATCAATTATATTATATATACTAATCGACATCATATAATACATATAACTAATAATATCATTATCATAAGTTTGTAACTAATTAAATTATATATTTTATATATAATTATATACATATATATTTTATATATTTATTTTTTTAAAGTGGGTGGCGGGGTGGGGGTACACTCCCCCGTCTCTCGCCCCGTTTCTAAGCGCGGGGGGGGGGGGGGGGAATTCCCCCCGCCCCCTCCCTATTAGCCTCCCGTGGGGCGGGTGACCGCCATCCCTAGGCTTGATCCAAGTATACTTCATCCCTGTGTTTGAAATCACTTTGCTAATGGTTGGATTGGTTGTAGTCCTTTTTTTTGGTGGATACAATGTGGTTGCAAACGAGTTGATTTGAGTCGAGTTTTATTCTAATTGAGTCAAGTCTCGACTAATTTTATCAAATTTGAGTTCGAACAGAGTTGAGTTTGAGTTCGAGCCTACTGGAGTTTAAAAAGGTAAAAATAATTATTTTATTTTTTTTAAAGACACATTAGTTTGGAGTGTGATATTTTATTTATTGTCTTCATAATTCAAATTTAATTAAGGTTACAATTTTTTCCCAACTGCTACAATTATTGCTATTATTAAAATGCAATAAATCTAATTATTAGGTAGAATGGTATTTTGGACAAATAGAAAACTAAGAATAGATCCTACTTGGTGTCTAATACTTAACATTTTGTCTTGTCATCAACTATTACTTTCTTCTAAATCAGTAGATATGATATAATGAATTTTAATCATCAAAATAAATTAAAAAGCATAATATAAAATTTCAATCATCAATAAATAAGGATATAATTGAAATAGTGAAAGTCAAGATCACAAGAGTGCTTATATTTACACTCCAAATTACCAAAAACTCATAGTACTTTTTTATATAGTAATGATAATGATGCTTCATATGTTTAATAATTAGAATGTGACCCAATTAGATGTTTAGAATTTCTGCATCATGGTATGATTGGTTTTAGAACATACATCTATCATTCAAGTTGGATGATTATCACAAGAGATTCCCAACATATCATAAGATTCTTGTTCCTGAAAATCCACACTTTTTCATACCCTTTCAGATAGAATTTTAGGATTCCTCTTTTAAATAAATACTTTTACCCATACCACTTTTCATTGATTCATACCATACTCTATTTTCGTAAGATGATATACACCATCTAACAACCCGCCGGGTACTACATCATATAGGCGCATTGGGAATGTAGATAATTGTAACTATACATATATAAAATAACAATAATAGAGTGTCAATTCTCGGACTTTCTTTGTAAAATCTCTATTCCTTGATAATCAAATCCCAAAAATCTATGAGTTAGCTCATGCTTGACTAGCCAAGCAGACAGACAACCTTGCATCTTTTTTATCTCTCCTATATTTTTATTTGGTTTAACTATCTCACTTTTATGATGAAATTTATGAAGATTAATTTTACTTTATATAAAGAAACACTAGTGTGTTTGGATTGTAAGTTATTTGAGATATTTTTACTGTAGCACTTTTTGTGATGTGATGTATGTGAGATAAAAAGGTAATTGGGAAGATAAAAAGGTGTATTGAAAATTGTAATGGTGATGTAAGCAAATATATTTGGCCAAATAACTCACACTCCAAACACACTCAGTTGTCTAATATAATTCACCAATTCATGGAAAGAGACTGAACTTTTGTATTTGAAAAATGTATCAATAGGTATTCCCAAGGTAAAAGTAGATGCTGGTAGATAAAGCTGTTGTTGCTTTTGTCATTGTACTAAAATTCATTTGCGATTACTTTACTTTGTTTGAAGGGCGGGCATTCAATGGAGTTGTACCTTTGACTTTGAGAGTTGAAGAGACAGAAGCTTGCCTCTGTTAGGTTGGAAACGTCCGATGTTATCCAAGTTTTGACTGTTTCTCTGGTCTGACAACATTCCATATCCAAGTTATGGACTCCTGGAATCATTTTAGTCAATTTGTACTGCTTAACGCAGAATTTTTCTCTGGTCTTTTCCCACTTTTTTATACTACAAGCGTCACCATGCAACAACATTTTGACATCTATAACAACCTTGACACATTATTCTTCGATGTCATTATGGGAACCAACATTAGAATATTTCTTCTAGTTTTCTTAAATTTAAAGATAATGCCTCTTAGTCCTTATTGCGTTTCAGATTTTGGGCCAGAAAATTTATTTGTCTAACGATTTTCCACACAAAAACTAGACGTGGCCTTGCAGTTTATGCCATGAAATTTCAAGTAGGAGCTTATAAGCATCATATGCATGGTGTCATTATCCAACTGAGTTTCTGGAAACTGTTTGAAGTGAACCATACTGTTTTATTGTATCATAGAAAAGTTTTTCTGCAAACGTAGCACTTTGAAATAAGACACTGTACCCAGTGAAAACATGCTGCTGTCCAAGTTCACGAGCAAATCAAGGTGGCTTATGAGAGACTATTATCTTGTCGATTGCGAAAAGCAATCTCATCTAGGACATGGCAAGATTTTCTATTTTTGACTGACTTTTAAAACCTGAGAATGAGTCCAGAAGTTGGCAAACTTAGGAGAGTTTTTTTGGTATAGATTTATCATTACTGATGAATTGACCGGCATTGGAGTTTATTAGATTTAACTATCTTATTTTAATCTTCTTTTTTATTCCTCCCACACTATAAATGGGAGCTTTTGCAGTGCTGCTATTAAGCATTAAGTAGCACAAGAAAAGTGTTACAGCACCATCTCCTTTTATCTCCATGGTTAGTGCAAAACCACAATCCAGGGCCATTATGATTTTGCTTGGCCTGCTGATAGTAGCTACCCTTGATTTCACAGGTCTTGCTTTCTCCTCTCCCTCCCCCTTCTCCCTATCAGTCTTTTTTATTAGATTTTAGGCAGATGTAGCATTGTGGTTTCTTTTTCAAGGCATCATCTAGACTGCTGATCTGATAAATTAGAATTTTTGCAAAATAATTGACCTCTAATTTTTCTTTAGTTAAGCATATAAAGTCTGTTTGCATATTAAGCATACTAATCATGTCTACAAGCATAGGCGTATTATTCCAAATCTAATTTTTGGTAGCACTTTGAAGGCTTGCTAAGCCATGCTGCACAATCACAAGCAAAATCAGCCAATTTTTAGAACATAATTTCTCAGGAACTGCCCCTACTAAGTACTAAGATTTAACTTTATTTCATCTACTAGATTAGTAAGGTGCAAAAACTTTTACATGGTTTTTTTTTCCCAGAAGAATGATTTCACTGATCAGTGAACATCGCATGTAATCTAATGCAGGAGCTCAGACAGGGGTTTGCTATGGAAGGCTGGGTAGCAGATTGCCATCTCCAGCAGATGTTGTGGCCCTATGCAAACAGAACAACATCAGAAGAATGCGAATCTACGATCCACATCGGCCAACCCTTCAAGCCCTTGGAGGATCAAACATTGAGCTCATACTGGGGGTCCCTAATATTGATCTTCAGAACATTGCTGCTAGCCAAGCTAGTGCCAATAATTGGGTCCACAACAATGTCAGAAACTATCCTAATGTCAGGTTCAGGTACATTGCCGTTGGAAATGAAGTCAGTCCTCTGAGAGACACAGCTCAGTACACAAGATTTCTTCTCCCTGCCATGCAAAACATCTATAATGCAATTTCTGCAGCAGGGCTAGGAAACCAGGTTAAAGTTTCCACTGCTGTTGAAACTGGACTAGTTGGACAGAGCTATCCTCCATCAGCTGGAATATTCAGACAAGAAGTTCGATCATTTATCAATCCCATCGTTCAGTTCTTAGCAAGAAACCGTGCCCCTTTACTTGTTAACGTGTATCCATTCTTTGCATACACAGGCAATCCCAGAGACATTAGTCTTCAGTATGCTCTTTTTACATCTTCTGGCATTGTTACACCAGATGGTGTAAGGTACCAAAATCTTTTCGATGCTCTTGTGGATGCTACATACTCGGCACTTGAAAAGGCAGGAGGATCATCTATTGAAATTGTTGTATCAGAGAGTGGTTGGCCATCAGCAGGAGGACAAGCAACATCAATAGATAATGCCAGAACTTACAACAGTAACTTGATTGGGCATGTGACAGGGGGATCAGGAACTCCAAAAAGGCCCCGAAGAAATATTGAAACATACATTTTTGCTTTGTTTGATGAAGATCAAAAGAGTCCAGAATATGAGAAGCATTTTGGACTCTTTCTGCCAAATAGGCAACCAAAGTACCAGATCACTTTCTGATAGACTGAGGAACCAAAGGTCTATAGGAATGGGAGTAGACTCCTTAATCTTATCAATGCATCTTATACCAATTTCTTGTTGAATAAGGGTTGCTCAAATTCCAAGTTCCAACCCGTATGTTACTGAAAACCTTTGTTCTAATAAAGAGGTGTCTTACTATTATTGAAATCGGGTAATTGCTATCCTATACCGCTGCTCTGGAAACAACCCAGATGTTTTTTCTACTTCAAACTATCTTGTACTTTTTGGTGATCTACATTGCTATCCTAGAAAACAGTGCTCAGTTTCTTTTCTTCTTGAAGATGGAGGGGGGGAAAAAGGCCTGATAACGACTGAAAATTGACAGCATATCACAGCAGAAGCAAATAAAATGAGGGGAAAAAAGGAAAAAGAAAATTAATCCATCAAAAGCAAAATCTCCATCAAAACTTTTCAATAAAAATGCTCGCGGCACAAATAACAGTCGAGTGTCGATTCTTCAAAATTTGATCAAAACTAAGAAATTATTGAAAGGAACAATAACACCCTCTTGAGGTCAACCAAAATAAAAAAAAAAAAAAAAAAGAAGACAAAAGCGGGGACTAAGGCTTGTAAATATGTACACATGTAAATGTCCTATACATCCAGTTCATGAAGAAAACCATAATGCAGTCGTTCTTGTGGCCATTCAACATTAACTGCTCAAGCTGGGAAACTCAGTTATATCATTTAGAAAGTGAAGGATTTGACTATAGTCTGTCATAAACTGCTGAGTAACCAGAATAAAGTTGCTTGAAGCTCTTCAGCATTCTCCTGTGCCTTCACCATAAGACAAGGGACATAGACCTGGAATTCTTAATCCCAACGAAATGCTCTGGAATTTGTTTGCGGTGGTTGAAAAATGCCACTCTTTCTATTACAGTTGTTTATTTCTCCATTGAGTGAACGCCATGAAGAAAGCCTGACCTTGTATGGAGAATGCTGACCTGAGAATGATTCAGATAACAAAAGCCTTTGTTTTGGTGTGCTCACAGATCTGGTCTTTGCTTTTGCAGATTCTGTCGTAGCCATGTAAGTTGGGAACATAGGAGAATTTGGTAAAGAGCTGTCATCTCCAATTGATTTTTGTTTTACATGACAAAATGACCTCCTTGGTAGTGAAATGGGGGAATTGATAACTGGTTCTGTTGAATCCTGCTTGCTTGCACTACTGTTCAGTTTGAGTTGTCTCATTTTATCTGTGTCACCCGCAAAAACATTTGGATGTGCAAATGATCGTGATCTTTCTTTTTCTCCTCTTTCCAAAAGATTGACTTCATTCCATTGATTAAATCGGCTGCTATGCCTTCCATTTTCTTTCTTCATTGATTCTTGTAGGATTTGATCATTCCTAATCTCCTGAAACAAACAATAGTTTTTGAAAAGAACTAATGTAAAGATTCATTTATTTTTTTGGATAGATGGACAAAGAGCTAATGGCTCTTATAAAAGCCCCAGCAGATTATGAATCGGTAAGTTTCTAAATACGAATGAAGTTACCCGATGTGAATATGAGTATTTCTTCATGCGCTCCCTTTTCATAGTAGCTTCTTGCTTCTTGAACCACAAGGCGTCCATTTCTTCCTTTGTTACCAAGCTCAAATCCCAGCTCATGTTTCTGTTGCCATGAAGCTGTTGATGATGAAAGTGGAAAGTTATGAAATTTGCTTTGCTTCTAGCTTGTTCAGAAGTCAGAAATGGTACTTCGTATGAGGTATGAAGGTTAAGATTCACAATTCAATTACATGATCTTCTTAATCACTTCATCTAGTGATGTTTCCAAACTTGTGGAAAGCTATTCCTGAACTCCAAAATTAACAGTGAAAAACTATGTTACCTACAAAAACGAGCTGCTGCAAGAAAGCACAGAAAACTTTCTTCTGCATTATTAGTCTATTTATTTAAGATGTCCTTTGATAATAGTTTTGTTCTCTGTGACATAGCCGATTCATCATTTACAAACTGTCATCTCAAACTCCATGAAAATTTGCAAGCAAATTCATAACTTACTTTCAGTTCTTCAAATTTCACACTTCTTTTGGGGCTAAGAGTTTGCATCCATTCCCCATCAGTAAGATCTTTATCGAAGAGCGGAACTCGAATTCGACACATTTGTAGCTCTGTCTTTGCAAGTGATGGCAAACATTTCAATCTGGGGACAACTTTTCTTCTCACAATTTCTCCACGTACCACTGCTTGAAGCTTCACCAGTCCCTTCATTGCACTTAACGCTTTCCTTGCCTAAACAAAACCACAGTAAGAAAAAGGAAAAAAAAAATCAGTCATTGTAGTTGTGGCTCCCAATAACTTGAAACTTTTTCTAACTATTTATTGAAAGCACAGTACTTGGATTGAACAGATATCCCATGCTTGTGAGTAAACCAAACTAATTTGAACTTAACACCTCTCCAATAGCAGCAGAAAATATCATCAACTTCATGAGATGCAGCATCTTAATTTTCATGGAAAAAAACAGCTGTAATATGCCATATAATAAGGAAGAAATTACATGAAGATTTTTAAGTAGTTGTATCATCAGCTGCTGCAGAATTAAGTTTAGGAGAGAAAAATTCTTTAAGATGCTCACCAAATGTCTACGATATGAACTTTGAATTTTGATGGCAGCCAAGTTTCTTCTCCTCCTTTCAACTTCACGAGGGAGATTCGTGAGCTTGACAACCTCAGCTGCAGCATTGGCAGCAGCAACTGCCGCCTCTGCTGCAGCTGCTGTTGCATTAGCAACAGCAAGGACACGCTTTCTCTGTTCTTCTGTTGCCTCACTCAGTGTCTTCTGGGGTGCTGCAATTTCAGGATACTGTTTGAACTTGAGCCTTCCAAATATCCATCCCAATCTATTTGATTTCTGAAAATTCATTCATACAGACATTAGTTAAAGCTCAATCACAAAACTCAAAACGAGAATCAAACTAACCTTCTCATTCTTTGGTTTCGTCTCTGGAATAAAAAGTCTTTTCACAAAAGAAAACCAGCCTCTTTTCTTTGCCATCGCTGCTTCCCAAGTCTTCAGCAACCAAATTTAGTGGTCTCGTACTCCTGTATCAACTACTCTGAAGAGATGCCATGATAACAATCATAACAAGTTCAAATTCACTGTTCAAACAGATAAAGAAACAAATAAAAATTACACATTTTCTGATTGATACAGGCAGCACGAGATGAGAACACAACACAAGAAGACTATTTTCAATTGAACCAGTACAGGAGAAAATACTAATATAAAGAAAGGTACGTGTCCTGTATCAACTTATCTGAAGAGATGCCATGATAACAATCATAACAAGTTCAAATTCATTGTTCAAACAAATAAAGAAACAAATAAAAATTACCCTTGTTCTGGTTGATACAGGCAGCACGAGATGAGAACACAACACAAGAAGACTATTTTCAACAGAACCAGTACAGGAGAAAATACTAATATAAGGTAAGGTATGTATCCTACTTGCTCTGCCTTCTGTAAGATCTTAGTCATCATCAAGATTTGTTGTCTTTCTCTTCAGTTACAGTTTTAGCTATACAATATACATGCAAGAGTTTTCAAAGTAAATCAGACTTAAGGAACTCAACAACTTGAAAAAATTAACACTTTAATGGACTACTCAAGAACTGCGGAATTTGGAAGGCTGTTTCAGTTATTTTCTCAGATAAAACGAGTAAAAATCTAGAAGCATTGCAAGACATACCTGGAGAATTTACAGGCGAAAATGAGGGGAGATAGACAGAGATTCTCTGCCATATCAATTCAGAGACAGCATTCATGGTCAAAAAATATCTGCCATATCTTCTGAAGTCAAGTCACTGTTGTTGGATGATGACGGTCCAAACTATACTTAATTCCTCCTCTTTCTGCTTGCTGAGATGAGTTCTTAAATCAAAAGGGCTGTCCTTAACTGTGATCCTGAAAGCACATCAGAGAAAACAACTAAGATTACTGAAAGCTACTTTAGACAGAATATAATAGTAAATGAATAAAGTTTTGAATATTGATCTCTCAATAATGGAAGCCTTTGCAGGTACTTTTGGTAGTGACCTGTGAGGACTGAGGACTGAGGACTGAAGGAAGTGTGTTTCTAATAGCAACGGGGGCCTCCCTCTTTCTCTGCCTCTTCCGTCTCCCATCTAACAGTCATTTCCACAACTTCCACTGACCATTTCAAACGTCTATTTCTTCGCAATTTACTGGTTTATCCTTTGGGCTTTGCACTTGTTCCCTTCAAAATGTCTGCATGCAAAGCCAACCTAACATAACAGTGTCAAAATGTCAATAGGAGGCAGTGATGAAGCTGGAGCAACCAGGGCCAAGGGCGTGCTCTTTGTTTTTATTCTTCTGCCATTTTGTTACATTTTGGATAAATCTCAATTGGTTTTAGGATTTCGTTCTACAATTCTAAATATGTCAAATTTGTTCCTCATGTTTTTCACATCTTATCAACAAGTCTTTTAATGTTTCAATCTCAATTTTTGGCATGTCTATGTGCAACTTGCTAGATATTGCATTGTAATTGACCAAATGTGTCCACTAACACAAGTCGGTTCAATTGACAAGAGAACTATTTTCTCACAAAAGATCGTATTGGTTTAATTGGTAAGATGGGATTATTTTCTCATAAAAGGTTGTATGTTCGAATCTTATTAGTATGCCTTTGACCACCCCCATGGTGGTGATTGGAGCTTAATTTATTCGAACTTTTATTCAGATTCTGCTAGTATGCCTTAACTCATAGTGCTGATCGAAGTACAATCTGTCCAAACTTTTATTTATTAAAAAAAAATCAAATTCATTGAACTTTTTGAAATAAAATCAATTTAGGATTTAGAATAATCCTATTGGCATGCCTTTGACCACCATGGGTGGTGGTGATCGGAGTCCAACTTATCCAAACTTTTATTCATATTCTGCTGGTATGTCTTGACCCATGGTGCTGATCGGAGTCTTACACATCCAAACTTTTATTTATTAGAAAAAGATCAAATGCATTGAACTTTTTGAAATACAATTAATTTAGAGTTCAGAAAAAATTAACTAACGTAAGAGTGGTCATAATTAGGATATACCACAAAATAGGAACTTTTCCTATAAAAGGGTTAATCTTTCCTTGGGGAGGAGGTTTGGTGGGGATTTGCTTCCGAGC